TTATATAGGTGTTGAGGCCACGAAGGTCTAAGATCGGCCTCTGCCCATCGTCCCTCTTGAGAACCACGAAGTATCGGGAATAAATATCGAGTCCCTGGTGATCTAGAGGCACGGGTTCTATAGCACCCTTTGACAGAAGTGTGGTGACCTCGAGGAGGAATGACGACGGGGTAGTGATGATGACTATAGGAAGAGGTGGGAGTTCTATGAATTCAATGGAATAGCCCTTGGCTAAGATGGAAAGGACCCATTGGTCCGACGTAATGGTGGCCCATGCCTCTAAATATGGATGGAGGCGGGTAGGGTCGGGAGAGGTAGACAGGCGGAAGTCAAAGGCCCTGCTTGCCCGGTTTGGGTTGTTTTGGTCTGACAATCTGCTGTCCAGAACTGTATCTCTGTCTGGCCTGGTACTGCTGCCTATTCACAGATGGCGACCAATGTGGCCTGTAACTTTCATCCGGGGATGGCTTAGCGTATTGGCGTCTGGAGCCGTAATGAGACCACGAGCAAGGACGAAAAGGCTTAGAGTGGGCAGAGACCCCCAGCGACCTTGAAGCCTTAATGCTCTTATCTATTTCCTGGAGTGTTGAATCAGTGGACGCATGGAAGAGACCTTGGCCATCGAAAGGTAAGTCCTCTATGTACGCCCTGATATCAGCAGGGAGTGTGGTGGTCCTCAGCCAGGAGTGCCTATGAAGGGCAACTGCAGATGACATTGTTTTTGAAAAGGTGTCCAGGGTATGTTTGGATGAGTTGATGATTTGTTTAGAGCGCAGCAAGCCTTCCTTTTGCAGCTTCCTGGCCTCTTGACGTTTGTCATCAGGCACTTGAGGTCAGAAAGTCGGTAAAGCGCTCCCAGAGCGAGTACTGGTAGCAGCCCATACAAGCGACATAATTAGATGTTTTAGTGCCGAGGGCTCCCACCGAGTAAAAACGATGACCAATGGAGTCTAACTTCTTGCTCTCCTTATCAGAAGGGGTAGCAAGGGTCCATTTACTCTTTGAGGCGGATGACACGACCAAGGAGTTGGGCTTGGGGGGGATATGGAGGAATTCCGCCCCCATCTCCTGGACCCGATACATGTGATCCAGATGTCTGGACGAGACTGGAGCAGAGGAAGGCTTGTCCCACGGGGCCTTAGACGCCTGTAGGAGGACGGTTGACATCGGGAGAGCTATCGAGGTGGAGGTATCGTTCTGCACGACATCAAAGACAGCGTCCGACACTGAGGGTTGGGGTTGGACGATCAACATGCCCAGGGAATGTGCCATCCTCTTGACCAAATCTCTGTATGAAGAGAGATCCTCAGAAGGCGAGATCGGCAGATTGTCCAATACTGTAGCCTTTAGTGACGGATCTTCAGGCGATTCGGGGCTTTTTGAATCATCAGTGTCAGTATCAGAGATGAATGATACGGCAGGCGATACCGGAGCTGCAGGAGTATCCAGTATTGGGGCTACTTTCAGTGGTAAAGCAGGGGTGGAACAGAGAGGAGAGGGTGGGCAACAAGGTTCCTCTGGGGCTTTGGATTGTGATGCGTAAGGCTTAGATTTACGGTGGGAAGAGCATGAACGACGTGATCCACGGTCCCAGCCCGACTGTGGCCTAGGCGTCAGCCATGGCATGGATGCCGGCATTGGGTACGATGTGAACCAGCAAGGCATCTGCCCACTACGATCCCACAGCATCGGTGGGTCAAAGTAGGTTGGAGAGTGCAGTTGCAATTCCCGTCTAGGCGAGTACGAGAGCATGGGCCTGGAATGACGGTAATCTGGGCACTCCTCAGGTCAATATCGACATTCGTGGTCTCTGGGCAATCAGGATTGATGGTGTCGAGAGCCCGGTGCCGACCAATCACTTTCCCAGGAAATCACCGACTGGGAACGATGTGCACGAGGCCAACGCGGAACCATTTCCTCAACTTCAAGTGGTGAGGCAGAAATTGGTCCGGAATCTACAGAAGCCTCCGATACGGGGGGTTCAGGTGCCGGATTGGTGAGTTCAGTAACTCAATTGTAGGCAGCTCCGGTATTGGGGTATCAACGACATCAGGTTGCGCCTGCTGGAGAGGGGGTAATGCAGAGCCCAATTGCACATTATCGCTGCTCACTTTCTGAGACCGACGCATAGTGCCAGTGAGCGAAGACTTAGGTTTCTCGTGCTTCTCCTTTTTCTTCTTTTTAGCTGGCGTAGAGGTGGATGAGGCAGGAGGGTGCAGGAGTCTCAGCCGACATATTTCCCACAGGCACAGGGGACAATGCCAATTCCCAAAGCGCTACTTGAAGTCTCGCGGCTCTGTTCTTGCAAGTTTGGTTCAAGAACTTCGCACAATGGTGGCAAGCATCTGGGCGATGAGTTTCCCCAAGGCAAATAATGCAGAGTGTGTGGCCTTCATGAGGGGCAAGTTTACTGCCACAGCCAACACACTATTTAAAACAACCCCCTCTTTTGGCCATAAAAGAGTAAAAAGGCCCAAAAGACAAGAAAAAGGTCCTTCGCTGAGGTGAGGAAATTTTTACCTCAAGAAGAGAGTGTGTGGGGGGCCCAAAAGACAAGAAAAAGGTCCTTCGCTGAGGTGAGGAAATTTTTACCTCAAGAAGAGAGTGTGTGGGGGGAGAAGGGCAGGAAGCTGCGTGAGGCAGCGGCAACCCTCAATGAAAAGTCTCTCTCTCTCTCTTTTTAAAGATAATAATAAGAAATAAAATAAACGCTGGAAGCGAAGAAAAGAAAACTAGGTTTGGAGTATCCCTCGTGAGAGGAAAAAACATTTCTTCACCGACCGGCAGAAACAAACTGTTAACAGCGCGGCGGTCAGAAGAGAACTGGCGGGATGTCCGTGCCCCTCCTCCTTGGGCATGTGCAGTGTTCCCGTGCATGCCTGGAAGAGAGGCACAAAAATCCCTTTGTGAGCTTTGCATACCACCGATTCGGATCAGCGCAGGTGCATAATCCCGTGGTTGTGATACACAGAGACCACGAAGAAGATCCTACAATTAGCTGCTGCTCCTACTAAAGTCGTGACTTTCCTAGAAATGTTAAGCTGGGTATGTTCCCTGTATTAGAGAAACATAGTCTGTTCACAAACAGCATTAGGGTGGGTGTTATGGAACAAGCCTAGTCCTGTCTGCTTGCCCCCCATGGTTCCTATTCTGTGAGAGGACTACAGCCCTTCAACAATATGCATCCCCAGGAGGCTGAGGTGAGAGCCTCCTTCCTTCATCAAAGTTTAAACAACTTACCTTGTGTTGGGAAGCCCTTCTATGAGGGCTTTTGTTACCCATTTCAGTCTATCTACACAACCCGGTGAATTGGACATCACATTTCCACATATGTTGCTGCTCACTAGTACGACTGCTGCAATAATGGCCAGTTGATTCACTTGCATCTGAAGGGTTCGTAAACGCTCTTTGTCCATCAACATAGTCTACAAAAGAAAACACAATCTCAAAACATAACTTTCTAGAGCTAGTGTCTGTTCTCACATTGCCAGAGCAAGGGAAAATATGCATATTATCCTCTTACTTCAGGATAGTCTTTTCCTGGCTCCCAATGCAGCAAGTCCATGTATGCTTGGTTTAATACAGCAGTAGGACTACAGATTGAAACTTCTCCAGCAGCCACTTCACGTGGTGGAACTGATGATCCACTGGTCTCAGAGTTGGATGAAGATGGTAGCAAATCAGAACTTGATACTTTAGCTGCTGCTGTGCGCAGCCACTCAGTTGTATGAGCCAAGTTGCCTGGAGTACAATAGTGGAGAAAGAGGTTTGACAGAAGTACTTGATAAGTATGTATGTCTGCATAAGTTGCTCCTTGTAGATCCTTCATGCTTTTACTTATATCTTCAACAGCCAAGCAGGCATTTGGAGGGAGGTGTTGGAAAAATCATTTATTGATTTGTTTGCAAAATTCGTATCTTGCTTTCTGCCCTCACAAGTGCCACCAAGTTGGCTAATAATTTAAAACACACATGATAAAACCACATTTGCCAATCAGTGGGGGAAAGTATCTGTGTATGGGTTATGCCTCCTCCTTGCGCCATATGCAATTTTGTTTTTTTGCAAAGGCTTCTACTTAACCTAAGGAGGCACTCTGCTTCCCCAGTCCATGTTCTGCCCACTGAGTGGTCGAATTTCCAGCTCTCTTGCTTCATTAAGGGATTAGCAGGACATAATGTTGAAACACCAAAAGAAATAGTCTTCAGCTTCTTGTGCCTCTCACTCTCTAGCAGAAGAGCCTGGAGCGAAAAAGCAAAAAATGCCTCAGACAAAAATGTTCTTAGGCAGCTTCTACAGTGGAGACGCTACAACAGGACAGCACAACAGCTTCATCCTTTGCACCTCCAATTCAAACGTCCGTGACGACGCTAACTGCCTCTCCTTCAGCTGCTGCTCTCCTCTCCTACCTCAAGATTTCAGGGGCAGACAGGGGTCTAAGCTCAATGGAGCCACCAATGCTTTTCCCCTCTGCTTTTCAAGGCCAGGAGGCCCAAGCAAATATCACCACAAGAGGGTGTGTCCCCCATCTCCAGCTGTGACCACGGAAAGGGAGCTCCAAAATACCAGATGTTGCACTTGCATTCAGAGGGTGGCTCTTTCCTCCCCCTCCACCCACTATTATTTATTTATATTTAATTTATTAGATTTTTACCCTGCCCTTCCAGCAGAGCCAGCTCAGGGGCTTCCCCAGATCTCTGTGCCTACATTACAAAGAAAGTGGTCAAAGATGCTAATCAGGACCTGAGAGCAAAAAGGTGATACCATAGAAAGAGGGAAAATGTCTTCTCCCTCCATCTCCCCCTCTCCTCCCAGGAGACTAACGCCATTCCTCTTGAGAAATCGGTTTCTCCCAGGACTCCAAAAACTCCAATAGAACCTGCCAGTACAGCTCTTCTTCTAGTTCCACCAGCAACAAGGCCAGTGCTCCACCCCACCATTACTCTCCAGGCCTGTTCCCTCTGGCTATTCAGAGTTATTACACTCTTATACTGATTCTATGGTTTCATACAAGGAAGAAGTGGAATGGTCAGGGGAAGACATAACCTCATCCAGCCCAGCCTCCACAAGACTGTTCCAAAGTGAGGATTTCTTGTGCCTCTTAGGGAAGGTTATCTCCTTTCTGAGATTTACAGGCCAATCCAGAAGAGAAGAGATTGGATTTACACCCTGCAAGCTGCTCCCCCCCCTTAGCTGTTTTTCAGGCTTTCTGCAAACCCTGTTTAAAGAGACTGCAGTCCCTTTTAACGGGGTTTGCAAGGCCACAAACCGGTTTGGTTTGTGGTTCAGCCACAGATCAAACTGCATTTTCCTGGTTTGTGCCAATCCCTCATCTCCACCTACCAGTGCCCCCCACAGACGGCAAGTCTGGAAAGAAGCCCTTTTTTTCCTGACACCATAATAGGAGGTTGACGCCAGGTCTTTGCAACAACTTGGCTTTGCACCATCCAGCACAAGTGGGCCCACCAGATTATCAACCAGGGATATACCATAGACCTTTACCACACTTTAGGGACAGATTCCTGGCATCCCCAAGGCCCAACAAGCCCCAACAACATCAACCTATGCTCCAAGCCATTGCTCACCTGCCAGAGATTCAAGCAATAGAACCAGTTCCAGAGAGTGAAAGATTTTCCAGAACCTACTCTACCTTGTCATGCCCAAGAAAAGCAGCAATTGGACAATTCTGGACCTAAAGCACCTCAACAACTCATAAGAGAGAATTATGCATGGAAATCATCCAATCCATAGTAGAAGGTTTCCTTCCAATGGTAGTTCCAAGTCTCCCATCTGACAATGGGCATTCCCTTCCCAGAACTACCCAGAGTGGAAATCATCATAGATGCCAGTCTTCTCAGCCAGAGAGTACATTGCCAACACTTAGTTGCCCAAGGAAAGTGGAGCAACTCAGAGAAAGCACATAGCAATTTGGCTCGCACTTCTCTTCTTCCAACATGCAATAGAGCACTCTCATGTTCTAGTTATCACCAACAACATTGACAGCAAAGGTGCACATCAGCTGTCAGGGAGGCACAAGGTCTTGATCCCTCCAGAAGGAAGTAACCCATCTATTTCAGTGGGCAGAGGCCCACCTAGCCCTCCCTCCAAGCACCCTTCAGGGCATTTACAATCTAAAGGCAGACTGGCTTAGTTGACAGGACCTGGACCCAGGGGCCAAGGTTCCAGTCCAGATTTCTGTCCAAAGGGGCAGATGCACTCTCAGCCCATTGGCCAAAGGGTGCCTTTCCTCCAGTCCCAATCATAGCCAGAATTTTTAGCAGCGTATGGAAAGAGGCAGCAGACAGAGTAATCCCCATTGCACCCCAGTGGCAAAGGAGTCCTTGTTTCTCTGACCTGGTAACAATGGCACAACATCCATTTCAGCGGCCCACAATAATTTTGTGCAGCCCACACACACACGTTCCATCCCTATCCAGATTGGCTCTGCCTCTCTATGTGGAAACTGAAAGGAGGGTATTAGAGTGCCATGGCTACCCAGAAAAAGTCATCAAAGTGATCCTGGTATCCAGAAGACCCTTGAATCAAAGAATATATGAGATCACTTGAAAAGTTTTTCATAGCTGGTACCACAGAAAGAAAACCACAGCTACTGATGCAGGGGTTCCAGAGGTTATTCACTTCCTCCAAGACAGACCAGAACAGGGTCTCAGCCCTAACACTCTCAGTGGTTCTCCATCATATTGCTGGACAAACCTTTCCCCAGACACAGACACAGAAAACATTTCCTAAGAGGAGAAACAATATTCAGTCCTCCCATTCAACTTCATTTTCCTACATGGGACTTCCACAAGGTGCTGAGGTTTCTACATAAGCCTCCATTTGAATCTCTGAGGTCGATTCTAACAGACCTTTTGTGCCCTGCACCTGGGGTGGTCTTTCCCAAGACAGAGACACCCCAAAACAACCTCTGAATCTCCTAAAGCAGTGCCCTCATCATGAAGCCAGGCTTAGCTTAAACAGTCGCTTTTGCTGGGAGACTGAGAATCTCATCTTGCCTTAATCTCATCTTGCCTTAATAACATCTCATCTTGCCTTAATAACACAGGTAATTGGGGGGTAAAATGGATATAAACAGCGATTCCAACTTCCTAAAGCTGTGTGTGCGGTGGAGGAAGGTCTTCAGAGCCTGTTGCACATCCAATGAGTGCCATTGTCTTTCCTTTGGTTGAGACGGATTTGGGCAAAAGGAAGGAAGACATATCTCCTGAGATCTGTGGAATCGAGACTTCACTTTAGGCTGAAAGGTAGGATCTGTGGACACCACTACCTTGTCCTATGGAACACACAAAGTCTAGGGTTGGCAGAAAGAGCTCCTAGCTCTGACACCCTACGAGCTGAAGTTACACCCACTAAGAACAATGTTTCCATCCGTAGCCACTTCAAGAGAACCTCCCTGATAGGTTGAAAGGGATGCTTGGTCAAGGCATTGATGATCACATTTAGTCACCACGTCGGGAACCTGTGGGATGTCAGTGAGCCCTGAAGGGACGTTCCCTTAAGAAAGCGATGGATATGAGAAGCTTTTCCCGCTCAATCGCCCGGTGGTCAAGTGAAGCCAACCTGGATCTGGGTGCCAGATTGGACCCTGTGTCAGCATGTCCAGTGTCACTAGTAGATGGAAGGGTGGTTGTAGTGTGGGACACTAGAGCTCTGAGAACCACAGCCTCTGTTGCCAGTACAGGGCCACAAACTATTACGTCCGCCCTCTGTTCTTGTATCTTCCTCAAAAGTCTTGGTAAAACAGGAGTCGGTGGGTATGCAACTAGGAGACCGGAGGGCCACTGAGACATCAGTGCATCCTTCGCCTCTGCGTTGTGGAGATAAGAGTCTGGTGAGGAACCTTCTCACCTTGAATTTGAGTGGGGATGCGAACAGGTCCACGATCAGGAGACCGAATCTACTTACAATCATCTGTAGCAGATCTTGTTCCAGGGACCATTCTCCTTCTTGCAATGGCAACAGCTGAGCCAATCCACCTGGGTATTTAGGGCTCCTTTTATGTGCTCTGCTCTGATGGGGGCGATGTTGAGTTCCACCCATAGGAACAACTGTGATGCTTCTCAGTGCAGACGTGAGGATCTGGAACTCCCCCTGGCTGTTTATGTAGGACTTGGCAGCCATATTGTCCGTTCTGATTAGCAGGGCTATTTTTCGGCAGGAACGCACAGGAACGAAGTTCCAGCTGGTTCCTGAGTTGGCCACACCCAGCAGGAACTCATTAGCATAATAGGCCACACCTAACAGCAGAAACTCATTAGGATTGGCTACATTAGAGGTGTGTGGCCTAACATGCAAAGGAGTTCCTGCTACAAAAAGAGCCCTGGACAACAAACAAGGTAAACAGAATAAGGAGCAAAAGGTAGGTGTGACTGGATGACCACACTTCTGGTAACATGGGGGTGTGGCCTAATATGCTAATGAGCTGTGCTGTGCATTTCTGCTGTTGGGTGTGACCTGCTGATTAGTATGTTCTGTTCAGACACTCGTGAATGGAAGTGGAGGAGAGCCAACCAAATGGCCCTCAGTTCTAAGAGATTTATGGGCAATCTCTTCTCTCCGGACCGTAGGCTCTGAGTTAGAGTGTTGAGAAGAACAGCACCCCAGCCCTGGAGGCTGGCGTCCGTAATAATCCGCTTGCTGTCCTCTGAGCAGTACATTTGATCCCTTAGGAGGTGCTGTGTTTTGGTCCACCAGGAACGGAAGGTTTCTTTCACTTACCGTGA